TTTTGAATCTGACTGCTTGTGGTTATATTGCTGGTCCACTCACTCTGCCTTGACTCGTGATAGAATTCACTTTTTTGACGGCAAATTTGGGTGTGCTGTTTTTTTATGTTGGGGGTGCGGCTTATAGCCCGGTGCGGCTTTTATGTTAATGTTCACGGATTTTTTTTTTTAAATGGCGGGTGTGGCTTATAGTCCGAAAAATACAGAATTCAACTGAATTAAACTAAAATAGATATAAACAAAGATAGATCCAAACAAATCACATAAACTGATAATGGAAAACTCCTGTAGCAAATTTGAGATTTTTTTTGTTCTTAAACAGAGACAGTAAAGAAGAGGAGAAAGTGAGTGAGTTATTTATTCAGCTCTAACAAAAACGTCAACTCTTTCGTTGCGACCAGCTTGTTACATTGTGGGAGACGACTTCACTTTCTTGTGATTCTGCCTGCTGCATCATGTTGAGTTTAGTTTGGTTTCTGAAGCATAATGTCACATCAGCAGGGGTATAAAGAATGCTGGAGCAGTGGGGGGGMTTTCCTCAGGGGATAGCCGGATCAAATCTTTCATGACTGTGGCAAGATCATGAATTGAGTCAYTGCTTTCTCCAGTCTAAACTTCTCCAGCTTGTTTTTTTTTCCATCCTATTTGTTCAACTATATTTTACATTAAAGGGCAGCAGAATTGTTCATTGTTAGAAACAAAAAAGATATATTGATTCCGCTAAATTATAAATATTGTATTTCTTGTTTTTAAGCCTCGTACTTATTGACAATAAGCTGTTTAGTTGGGGGGGTTTGAGTGTGTTAGTGGCAGCTTCAAGCATAAATCCAGAGTGAGCAGATTTTATTTTTCATTTTGTGTTTTTATATAGAGCATGAATGCACAACAGTTGATCTGTTTCCTGACAGCTTGACTTTTACAAAACTCTTAATGCTTAGAATGCCAAAAATAATGAGAAAAATAAAAGAAAGCAGCAGGGCATCTTTACCATTTGTCACCAGAGGTGGGAAACATCTGTTGGTATGGATACTGACAGATGCCTGTCGTGTTGCACTATGTGCAGTTAATTTGCAAATCTATATTTCCCCCCGCAGCGGCGGGCACGTACTAAGAAAATAGCAGGTATGATCTGTATTGCCTGCTGCCGAAACGCACAGGTAGACGATAATGATTTTGCCTGTGTGTTTGTGTGTTCCCGAAATATCTCATGGAGGGCTGGACAAATTTTAATTAAACCTGCTGAAAGTCATCACATGCCTRTCTGCAACTGATTAATTTTGTCAACTCAATTAACTGACAGTAAAAGACAAAATTGAAATTTTCAGCTAAAATTTGTTGTGGTTGCAGCAAAAAGTTGTTCACAACAGAAACAAATGTGTCAATTTGTATGTTTGCACATATCAAAATTTTAAGGTTTTACCACAATGTCATTTCTCATATAATTCAATTTTAAATTTGAGAACTTTTTTTTATATAACTTAACTAAATCTGTTATAACTTAGCTAAATGTTCTGGGGATTTGATGTATTAGCAATGAAAAGGCCCTATCCAAAGAAATTTTTAATTAAATAGCTCCATGAAATTGAAAGGTTAGTAGTCCACACTGCCTTTGGTTTGGATTAGCATTTATAACAATAAACTAAGACAGAAATGCATTTTGTCATTCATAACCACGGCACCTTCTGCCTGCATCGCAGTGATTTTCTGTCACGGTTTTTTTWAAATATTGGTGATTTGGTTCCATCCCAGTAATTCTGCATCATTAGTTCTGCTGGCAGATCTTCACAAGGATTCAAACCATTTATGCTTATTGAATGGATGCATGTATTTAAAAAAAAATGTATTACCACCAGCTCTCTGTGCGTATTCTAATTAGGAGATGTGGCAGCAACTTCTACAAGAATAACTTGGGATACAATGTGTGTGTCCCCCAACACACTCGCACAAAAAACCACCTCAGTAAAGTGAGCGCCGACATTCAGTCAGCGCCATATTCTTGAAAGAAAAACATCAATTATAAATAAATAATTMAATTAATTCATTTTTTTCATTACCTTTTTTCTGAAAAGTCTTTAATGACTTGAGAAAAAAATCCCCCCCTTTAATTTGAACAGGTGGCAAAATCATGATGAAAAATACAGACGAGAATAAAATAGGATGATGAAAAAAATGAGCGATTCTGAGTTTCACTCAGCTATGAGGAAAAAATAGTTTGCAAAAATAATTATTTTTAAAGATGTTAACAGTTTCTGTAAACACTGTGTGAGTAAATGCTCAACACTGTTATTTTTTTTAAAGCAAAACTTTAAATGCAAATTTTTAGCACGACTCACAGATTCATAAACAAGTGTGAGGAGGCAGCGGGGCTTTTCAACTAAAATAAAGTGAACGTAAAGGTGTCATCGTCACCATCATTTTTAGTTTCACAACTCAATCATGTATTTAAAACAAGGACAAGAAAATAGATAAATTATTAACTTTCAGATGTGACACACGCACATATATTGTGAGGTATTTTTCACATAGTTGGTGCTAAAATTCTTTTTTTTATTGATGAAAGCGTAAAACCTGTTAACTGTTCTGCACATTAAAAGAGTTCAACATCTAAAATGTGTTTTTCTATTAGGGATTTAAAAAATTTGCCAATCATTAAATTTAGTTTTAATATACATTACAGGTATCATTCAAACGTCTTTGAACGAGGTTTTAATCCTGTACTAATTTTGTTTTTGGCACTTGGTGTTGAAGTAATTTGGGTTTTGCTCGGTGCAGTTGCACTATCATCCTCCTCCTGCAGTGCGCATACAGAACGTTGGCTCGTATAGGAAAATACGTGAACTCTGTAAAGTAGACTCATCCAGTGCAACTCCTTTATTAGGCTTGTCACATTTGCAAAGCTTGATTAATATTTACAGCTTAGACTCAGCAAGAGTACACAACATGCACACTAATTATTGCAAAGTTCTTCAGGCTGTAAGTTGCTAGAGTCTTGCAAGTTGTTTCATACTGCATTTTAATTGCAGAATACATTAATTCTCCCTTTGTAACAAAGGGCACATGGTGTAGAGCTGCACAGATAAACTTCATACTCGTATTTTCTTGTGTCAACAAAACCTCGGATTTTTCAAACTGAGCAGAAACTAATAAGCCTGCTGGAGAAATGATCAAGTCAGCAGTAATGGCTGCTGCTCCCTTATAGTACCGGAATATAAGTTAGTGGAGAAAAATCAGGTAAAGTGATAAACTCACTGGAACAAGGAATTTTTTAATTTCCTCCAAGGCGTGACTCATTCGGGAATAGGCCTCTCCTGGTGGAGCGAAGACTTCAATTAAAACGTGGAGATCGTTACTCAGATGGGCATATTTGGCCTCTCCGCTCTTTCGTAATTCTTCTTCCTGTAATGATTAAAAATAAATAAATAAATAAATAATTTATATATATATATAT